GAAAGAGGGACTATCCTTCGTGAATAATACATTTATCAGCGACGTCAAACTTTGCGTTTCTTCGAAGACGCTATAACTGTCGTCACCACACCACTTCACACAAACCCAACTCACGATGGTTTGAGTCGTACCAAACAAAGAAACATGCAAATCCTCCCCCCGTCACCACACCACTCCACACAAATCCAACTTGTGACGGTTCAAGTCCTACTACAATTAACAATCCACAACAGATAGAGTCTTCTACCGCCGACACACCAACCAAGGAACTCACGACGGTTCGAGTCTAGTCTATCCTGAAAGGCGCAGCCTGGTCCCATCCCGCCTCACCAGTACTTAGCCCAACTATAGATGCTGAGCCTAGAATGCCCCTGCGAGCCAATTTTTGACGAAGCGTCAGGGTACGGTTTCGATTTTGTTTAGGCTGGCGCTTCCAGCCACTGTGTTCTGGTACCCAGAAACCCTAAAGACGCGACGAGTTAATGGGAAAGCGCCGCGGTCGATAGCTGGGCCAAGTACTGGTGGTTTAAATTCCGTCACATTTGTGCAATTGAAGTGAAATGGCAGTGAACAACAATTTACTCTGGGGCCCGTTAGACACTCCTTGGGGCGTCCTCGGGGCCCAAGGAAGTTTCCTTGGGGGGTTTTAAAGAAACTCCCGCCGTTGTTCCACTCATTCTTGGGGTGGTCTCCTAAGGATGATTCCTTTCGGTCGCCGCCGACAATTTTCATAATATTATAGTCAGCCGTGGGGGGGGGGGGCAATGCCTTGGTCCATTGGTTGATGTCCGTCTTGCTACAGTGTGGTCCAACTGTCGAAGGGGAAATTTTGAATGGTGCTGGCGACCGAAGAAAAAAAAAACCCTTAAAAAGAAAATGGACCTCCCCATTTGAAAACCAAATTTCAAATTGGGTATTGAACGTCACGACGGCGACGCGGGGCAGGTGGCATCCATATCTGTGACAGTGGAAACGGGCATTTGCAGTGGCGCAGTGGAGTCCTCGTACGTCGTCACGAATTTGTGAGCGCCCGGCGAAGGTCCATCACCATCGCCTCTGCATGTCGTCGCGCCTTTGTGTTGAGTCGAGCACACGCAGGGAATGTCGTCGGGGACTTGGCGCTGAGGTTATTGTGGTTGTGGCGAGTTGGTAGGCTATTGTATTTTCGTGGTTCATGAGCAGTGCAACACACGTGCCGATGGACTGTGGCAGCGACGACGGACGTGCGAAGTTGATGACGATCGAGAAGACGGTTGTGGTTGCGGCTGTGACGAACGTGCTCTTTCGTTGTCATCAGGAGAGGGCATTGGGCGGAATGAGAGCGCAGATCCGCGCCTGGAGAAGGAAGACGCTTCATCAAGTCCCGGTTAAAGGGCTGGATACCGTGGCCATCACCGAGGCTGCAGTTCAGGTTTGCTGCGCCGAGGGTTGCGGTGTTTTTCCACGAGCGATGCAGAGGTGGTGGATGAAAACGAGGACGGGGGGGCGCGTGGGAGGATCTCATGCAATGTGATGATGCGACGGAGGAGTTCTTCTGGGAAAAGTTGCGTATGTCGCCACGTGTCTTTCAGGCGATGGCGATTGCATCGAGTGTGGACGAACGCCCGCGGGATGTGTTGTTGATGTTGATGTTGACTGCAGTCGATGTCGATCCCTCGTCTTCTCATCTAGAGGCCTTCGATAGAGGTCGGCCATCAACGATAGAGGAAGCCCACCGGGAATAGGAGGACCACGACAAGCAAAACAGTGGCAACCTTCAATAGAGGTCGTTCATCAACAACACGTACGACAGGGCAACAATTCTACGATGACGATGAAGGTCCACCAAACGGTGACGATGAAGGGAGCAGACGATAGAGGACAACATACGACACACGCACTCTTATGGTTCATACGCCCTTGCACTGCGAGCCGGGCCGTGGCCTGCGCTGTGGCTTCTGGAGTGGTCCACTGAAGACCTGCTCTTCACCTGTCGCTCGTCCATGCACATCCTTCTTCGCAGACCGCCTCTTACGTGTACCTCCAGGCACCCTGCCGAGGATGCAGACGTGGAAGAAGATGACAAGGACAAACAAAAGGATGACCAGGAACAGCAGCGGCAGCCTTCGAAAGACGTCAGCCATGAAAGTCAACTATCTTGGCAACTTTTTTTTTTTTTTTTTTTTAAACAAAAGCCCTTCGAAAACCCACTATCTCGGCGGTGGTGAGAGAACCGCCAGCATTGAGGGTTTCCCAGTTGGGCCGCTCCACGAAGCAGTTTCTCAAATCAGCGTCGAAGATAATATAACAAAAGTAAATAAAGAAAAGGGGCGAGAGCGAAATGTCAAAACCGAGTTTCGGGTCGCCAAAAAGAGTGCGCACCGGCAACAGAAGCAGGCGCCGAGTTCGAGAACTTCAAGGCAATAAAAGCGGCATGACACTTTGTAATAAGCCAGGACGTCGTAACTACAGGGAACGGCCGTGGTGTGCAGAGGGCGTGAGTTTAAAAGAGGGGAGGGGAGGAAGGAAATACCACTATTTGTTTTTTTTTTTTAACTCCTCTACAAGTGGACCCCGCCACGGCTACGGCATGGCGCACAACAACCCTCTGTGTTTCTCTCTCTCTCTCTCTCTCTCTCTCTCTCTCTCTCTCTCTCTCTCT